ATTCCTGTCCAGCATGTCTGAAGTTTGCTTGCGGTGAGGCATTTCTATTCAGAAATTATATACTTTTATTTTAATTATTTTGCCATTGAACAGTGCTTACCAAAGCAAGACCCTTATCTGAAGTGACAGAATCACGTGGGTGGAAATTATAATTCACATCTACTGACTTTGCTGATGCACAGGTGGGTTTTAAGAAAAGAAGCCCAGCTTTTTAACCCTCTGAATGCTGCAGAAACAACTTGGCGATTGGAGAGCGGCCGGGATTGTTCTGTTACGTAGGATCTAGTGACAGTTTCTTTGTAGGTGATTGGGCAACACCAAAAAAATAAATAAATATCAGATTGATGCTCTGATCTCAAGGCGAGTTTGCCAGGCTAGAAATTCAAAATAGCCTCTTTGTTATCTGTCAGCTGAAGAGATGTGAGCTGGGTTGGTCTCTTATTTATGGAACAGTGTAATGCCATTTTCATCAGCTCTGGTCTGAGTTGGAGGTCGTTTTTTTCAGGAAAATACAACTCAGTTGCCATCAACTCACGAGAAAACATGAGGAAATCCAAGATGGGGATATCTGAACAACTTGGTTTTATTTTTGGGTAGAAACAGACTCATTGTAGGGAAGTTGTCTGCAGCACAGCTGTGGAATTCTGGGGGGAAGTCCCTTCCCCACGCTGAGCCTCTGGAAAGAAGAACAATAGCCGGTATGAGCCTCACAGACAGTTTATGGGAAGAAACTTCTTGTTTGCAAGTGCGGTGACATAATGTGAGAACAGGATCTCAGCACATGCTGTCAGGGAAGCTGCTGCTTGTTTGCAAACTGGGCTTTTTCAAATCCTTACCTTCTGGTGAGCCTGCAGCCAACTTTCCCTGAAAGGTCTCCTCCATAAAGTGTAGCATCTTCTCCTTCTTCCACCTTTTCTTTGTGGTGCCAGAACAAAATAGGATTTTTCTTTTTATTACTCTTCAGGATTCATTTCTCCAGGGCAGGCTTGTCCCGGTGCTCTGAAACAGCTCTGGGCTTCGAGGTGAGGGCATTGGTGGCCACTGAGTACAAATAGGACTCGTGGGACCAGCACTTGAAGCCACATCGGATGCAGGGATGGATGGTTGCCGGCCCCTTGTTCAACGTCCAGGTGGAACCATGCGGGGCTGTAGCAGCCATTCACCTCCCGCACATCACGTGCCTTAAAGGTATGGATGGAAGATAGGGGAAGTCATCAGAGCCGTGTGGGGCACAAGGGTCCTGTCTTTTATACACCCCACAAAGACCATTTGCTACAGCCATGGTTTAAGGCAGAGGTTGGCAAGGTTTATGAGCCACGGATTGGAGCCACTCAGCCGGGGTTTGAGGCAGGATCACTGCTCTGACCTGATGGCCTTGCTCTGTTCCCCTCCTGGCACAGATGTGACCCAGCCCTGGTGTGGCCATAGGCACAGCCTCCCACCACTGGCCATAGCCCCCATACCGCTCAAATCTCTGTGCAGGACCATGGGATGCTGCCAAAATTCACAGGCCAGATCCAGTGCCCAGATCTGGCCTGCCAACCAACCTCTGACATACAGGATTGTATATGTATGTAAGACAAGATCTTTTATGTGTTATCATATATTCTCGCATACAAGACACACCTTTTCCCCCAAATTGGGGTGCGTGTGTTAAGTAAGGATCCTGATTTTCTGCCTGGGATAATGATCATCATGGTCCACTAGTTAAGGTAACCTTTCTGTGGGCAATGTTGCTGACTGCTAGCTGCTTCTGGTCTTTCTTCTCATATTTCAGAGCCCTGATGAGATGACTCTTTAGCTCTTGCCAAAGACACAAATAGCTCCACGCCTAGAGACCCTGCAGCAGCAGCAGCAGCAGCAGCAGCAGCTAGCATTTCCAGCTTTAGTTAAACAGGAAAGGGAGGGTGAATGCATTGAAGATTGGGCTCTCCCCCTGCCCTATGCAGTCATAACCCTGGAGACATTTTTTTCTTTATTCTGTGTTTCAAAAATAAAGTGTGTTACATTCTGGGGTATGCTGTATGTTGGAAGGTATGGTAATCCACGCTCCAGTGAGTCCTGCCCATGTCCTCATGCATTGCAGGTAGTGGTCACACTGGCTAAAGTTTCTTCTGACCATTATCTGAATCCAGACAGGCGGAGAGGTTGACATTTCCCTCATGCACGTTGTTCACATTGTTAATGGGGAGGTGACCCTGGAGAAGCCAACGAAAGTGAAGCCATTCTGTGCCGTGCTGGAGAACCCCAGTTTTCCTGCCTGGGCCTCATTTTCAGTCAGGATGGCTGAGTGGTCTAAGGTGCCAAACTCAAGACTGTGTCTTCCCTTCTTCTCTGTGTTCTGGTCTCTGTATTGCATCTCAAGTAGGGCCAAGGAGGTGATCCTCCCCCCCTACGTGACACTGGTCAGGCCACAGCTGGAGTACTGTGTCCAGTTCTGGGCACCCCACTTCAAGAGGGATGTGGACAACATGGAGAGGGTCCAGAGGAGGGCCACCCGCATGATCCGGGGAGCAGGGCAGACCCTACAATGAGAGGCTACGGGACCTGAACCTGTTCAGCCTTCACAAGAGAAAGCTGAGGGGGGACCTGGTGACCGTCTATAAACTCACTAGGGGGGACCAGAAGGGTTTGGGAGAGACCTTGTTTCCCCTAGCACCCCCCGGGATAACAAGGAATAACGGCCACAAGTTGTTGGAGAGTAGGTTTAGATTAGACATCCATAAGAACTACTTCACAGTCAGGGCGGCCAGGATCTGGAACCAACTTCCAAGGGAAGTGATGCTGGCTCCTACCCTGGGGGTCTTTAAGAAGCGGCTCAATGCCTACCTGGCTGGTCCCTGGAGCCCAGTTTCCCTCCTGCCCAGGCAGGGGGTCGGACTTGAAGATCTACAAGGTCCCTTCCGACACGACTTCTGTGATTCTATGATGCTGTGATTCAGATGTTTATTTAGGCATATTCCAGTCCATTCCAAAGTGCTGCTGTATCACGCTGCCAAGTATGCGCCCACAACCCTCCACATCTACCTGAT